TCATATTTTGGAAAAAAATTCAAAAAAAAATGAACTCTCGGGCAAGAATTCTTTGGGAATTTTTGAGACTGTTCAATGATTTAGTGGCAACATGCCTAAAGGCAGCATTTTTCCGTATGTAGGCCTCTGAAGTAGAGTGTGTTGATTAAAATTATTCCATTTAATTCGTCTTAAGTGAGTCTCTGATAATTTCGATTTTTTGGCCTCCTTCAACGAAACACGAAGCTATCTTCTGTTTTGTTTTTTATTGCAAAGGAGAGACTTTGCTGATAGTGTTTATGTTCTGTACAATGCGAATTTATTAGGTACTACCGACGTATTCGGCGGCAACTACAATTCCCTCAATTCTTAACCGACCCCCACCGCCATTACCGCATGAAACAAATTTTGTTGTTACCGATTATTTCAAAGATGAGGCTGCAGCTGACAGAAATTTTGTTTGTGTCGATGATATAACCAATCAGGTATAATTAATGTAGTGAAATATGAGTTTTTAGTTTCACTTATATTTTACTTAATATGTACTAATATAGAAGATTAGTAGTGTATTAAAATTGCGAGCACTTGTTGCAAATCTTTTGCGAAAATGTTTAGCATTTCCACTTTACAGGATTCACAAGGTGTTCCATCTGGAGGTAGTGTACAAGGGCCACTAGCGTCTTACACTGGACCACAAATCAAAGGAGCCGCCGATTTAGGCTTTGTAGAAACGCCCTGGGGACGTTATAAAAGACATCGTATGTATTTTTTCGATTTTAGGAGTTTTAAAAATATTTGAACTTATAGTTATGATGGTCTTCACTAAGTGAAGATCATTCAAATTGATTTGGTTTTGCTTTTACAGGTGCTCCAAACCCGACTATGTATCAGTTCGAACCGTCTTCCGGATTATATTATGATCCAACAACTGGTCTGTACTATGACAGCAATTCTCAATACTATTGGGATGCCAATGCACAGAAATGGAACTGTTGGAACGCAGCATATCAAACATATATACCATGTGATTTGATGTCTCGACAAACTGGAGCTGTTCAAGGTAAACTAAAATTCGTTTTGGTGCCAAGCCCATTTCACAAATAGAAATTGGTAGAAATTTTTTAAATCTTGCATCATTTAGCAAATTCATTTTCAGCAATTGTGGCAAATAATGAAAGCCAAAACGAAACTATCGAGAAAAACACTGAAGCAGTGAAGGAAGAACCAAAAAAAGAGGTAACTTTATTTTAGAGTGTGATTGAGAATTAAAATGGCGATTTTCTCTCGTCGGAAAATTCCGAAAGATTGTCGCTTTGAAAATAAATTCAGAGTTTTTTTTACTTATTTTCAGCCTCAAAAGAGTGCGAAAGATATTGCGCGAGAAATGGCACGTTGGGCTAAGAAACAAAGTAAAGTGTTGTTAGCCGTCAAAGCACCTCCAAAACTGGAAACAACATCACCCCTAGTAACTGCTGCCAAACCGAAAACAACTGCCATCGAACCAACTGCTGATCTTACATATAAGATGCTTGAGAAAACAAGTGTTAGCGATTTTTTTTTTCATTTTTCATCCATCGTTCTGAATATTTTCTACTGCTGTCAATATTTAGGACGAAATTTAGAGTTTTTATGTGGTAGATCGAAATTCCGGTATTTGCAGAATCCATTCGGCTCATTCAGTGATGATGATGAAGAGGAAGAAATACCACCAGCAGCAAAGATTGCAGCAATTGGCGTGGGTCGTGTAGCACTGAATAGTAAAAGTGGAAATCGTTTAATGCAACATACAGTTAATTTACCACCACCTTCAGTTGTTGATCCAGTTGTTATTCCTCCTGTCAAGACGTATGATATTTTCTTACCTTCAGTATATCGTTCTGCTGAGCAATGCTCTAATAGTCTTCCAATTATTCGAACTTATGGCTTGTTCTATAATGAAAAACTAATTAAGAAATGGAAGAATAAATATATCACCCAATTTTTTCAGATCACAGTCGGATGAAAATTTTGTCGATATTGAAAAAAAATATTGCATTTTATGCAGGCGGAAATTCGCAAGTTTGGAAATTTTGATGAAACATGTTCGGATGTCAGATCTCCACAAGGTACTACAAGGAATTCAAGTTATATAGATTTGAAAATGGCATCAAGTGGCACATATCTAAGTTTTACACATTTTATACTGAAATGTACTCGTGTTTGTATGGTTGCGTTAACCCTAGTTTTTTGCCCCAACTAATAGGCAAAATTGTTTTCATTTTCGCTATTTTAATTTTGAAAGCTTTCGTTGATGTAAACACACATCCTCTGTGAAGACAAAAAAATGAATGGTAAGGCAGTGATAAATGAGTACAGTTTGAATAGAAATGACAAAGGTCTTTGCATACGCTTTAATAAAGAATGCCTTGGACGCGGTATATGCACCACAGAGAAAAGTGTATGGTAGCATAGGATGAAATGTTGAGTGTTTGATAGTTCATATGGTAGCTTCATTCAGTATAAATTTCTATTTAGCTTTGCTGGAATTAAATATGGGTAATTTCACTAATTTTGTCATCACAGTATTTCAATTTTCCAGAAAAATCTGGAAGCACATTTATTGCAAGCATCTCTCGATGACAGTGCGTCATTGTCAACTCCATCCGTGTCTGCGTCATCATGTTCACTCGCTCCACAACAGTATCGCGATCGCGCAAAGGAACGTCGTAATTTGTTCGGACTAGATCCAAGTGGTCAGTTTTCTTTTTCTTTTCTTGACGTTTTTATTACTCAAGGTACGAGATTACTGTATCGGTTTTTTTTTAATTTTTTTTTGTTTAATGAAAAATAAGATAATTCCTTCTCATATTCTACTTCAGGTTTTACAAGTGAGACTGCTGAAATTGGGACGGATTATGCCGTGCGGTCTTCAGACATTCCAATCGACGGCACAAACATAGGAAATAAGTTATTAAAATCAATGGGCTGGCAAGAAGGAGCAGGAATTGGAAAGAATAACCAGGGTATGAAGTTGTTTTCTAGTGAAAAACCAAATTGTGTTTGACTAACAAGGAAGAAATCCGAAGTGAAATTCATCATTTATTTCTGAATGTTTCTGTGATCAGTTACTTATTCGAATTCAGTTACAAATTTTTTCGTTTGTATCACTTAGTGAACAATAGAACGTATGGACAATGCAGAATCGCGTGTAACTTCCCTTTGCTTTACTGATTGGTTTGCCTGCTTGTTTATCTATTTACATATTCTATTTCAATACATGTAAATTAGAGAATTTCTTACAGGCATCGTAACACCAATAGCAACGGAAATGCGGGTGGAAGGAGCAGGATTAGGTGCAGCTGGTTCAAGAGTGTTGCATGGTGCGAATGCATCCAGGCGAGAACGGGCACGGACTTCGATGATGAATCGTTTTCAGGATTTGCAATAACTAAAGAAGAACAGAAGAAATGGAAGAATGAGAAGAATAAAAAGTTAATTGGCAGAGCAGAAGAAATGGGGGAGTAAGAAAAATAATGAGTTACTTGGCAGTTGTTTCAAGCTTTCATTGGATTTGTTTTTGGTTTTTAATATAATTTTTAGTTTTCTTTTTTACTGATATTTTTGGGTTGCATTTCTTTTTTATTTTTACTTGCAATTCGACTTGCTTACAAATGGATTAAATGATTCCTTAAATTATTCAGATACTGGTTTGCTCACTAATTACTGGCTACTGTTTTGTAACTCTAGCTGTTCATCCAGAAATGTTTTTTCCCCTCATTACACCTAAATTACGCGCATTAAAGTCGATGATCGTAATAAGTGGTGGATAGGTATTCATGTATTATGCAATAGTTTTAAAACTATTATCTTTTGGAATTTCAACTTTTGTCAGTTCGTTTTGTTGGAATTTTTATCGCAAAAATGAAGAATGGAATTGTGTCTCATTGTACGCAGATGGCCTAAATATAATTTTGCCGAAATGGATGTTTGACAAGAAGAATGAGAGCAGAAATGGAAAGGAAACTGAGAAAAAAGTAGTAATCGACAAAGTATAATAATATTCATCTCAAAGAGATGAGTGAGTGATACAGTGATCAGAGGTCCGTGATAGTTGCGGCTAATTCTGGCAAGACAAGAAGTCGTTCGGATAAGTGTAGCATGCATTAACGGGATTTGAGAAGGGATGTAAGTGTCCTAATTTGGTGTCACAGTTCAAGGATTTCGCAGTCACATAATTCCCGAATCGTTTCCCTACTGGATCTTAGCGATGAATGTTGTCTCCTCCATAGCTTTCATCTGGAATTACGTAAACCTCAGAATAATACATTGCAGTCATATACATACATTAACAGTATGGTATCAGATGACACGCGACAAATCATCATTGGTATCAATTTTGTTGTGTTGGTATCGAACCGATGAGGTGCGAAACTCTGTTTTCAAACCACTTAGAATTCGGCTATGATATGACATTTGAGGGGTGTATAAAGAATGCATAACGTGCTTAACTACTCTGACCTTCTAATATATCGAACTTACCGTTATATATCAATTAATTAATTGTGCTTAAGTTATCTAGTAATAATAATAGATTGTTTATGGTACGAATATGTGCTTATTTTACTTGCCATATTTTAACATTTATCATTTGTAGTATTCCTTTGCATATTTTAGTAATTCAGTAATTCATTCTTATTAATAATATTAATTAATTAAGTTTAGATTGAAAAACCTTTTTTGCATATGTGCAAATTTTAAAATAATTTGTAAGAAACTTTTCCAATTTTTTTGCAAACAAATTTGCAAAATATTTAAATATTTAAAAAAAGAATTTATAAATTATGTAAATTAAATATGCACTTTTCATATATGCAAACTATATTAAATGTATTCTATTATGCAAATTTTTCGATTATTTCATTTATTCAATTATGCTTATGCAAAAGTTTATGAAATATGCTAATTTTGTGTGTCATATTTTCAGTTATATAAGCGCTTATAACTTGACATCATTTATTCGTTTAACTTTTGTTCAGCGCAGCATGGGTGACACAAGCTGTTATATGGCACCACCTGGAGCATCTGGTGGTGGTGGTGGTGGTAGCGGTGGTGGCGGTGGTGGTGGTGGTGGTGGTGGAGGTTATGCTTATCAACAGGAATATGATTATGGAAGTAAGTAGAAAATTATTTGAAAGAGGGCAAAATTTCAAATCTTTTAATTGTTAATTTTAATTAAAATAATGATGATAACAATAATAATGATCGTATGAATTACAAATACTTAACGGATAATTTTAGGCGGCGGTGGCGGTGGTGGTGGCAGTAGCGGAGGTGGTGGCGGTGGTAGCAATGATGGAGATAGTGGACCAAAGATGCGAAGTGATGTATCCTGCTATCTTGGTCCCAGATAAAAAAACTATCCCATGAAGTCAACTGAATTTTACAATTCGACTTACCCAATTGCTACCAGAAATTCTTCACCTCTCCTTAACACAAACTGATAACTGATCTCATCTATTTTTCTCTATAAATATAATGATTTCGTTGAAACATCGAAACAAAAGAGGGAATTCTGATTGGTTGATTGGTTATCACATACAACAGTTTATAATTTCCACCACTACTTATTTGGCGATAATATGCTGAATAAAAATGAATTGGTCTTTTTTTACACAATAGCTTTGCTTGAAGGAATTAATAAAATTAAATTTAAAAAAAAAAGAGTCAAATTAATATTGATAGTGTCAACAATTAATTAATCATTTATTGATGGTGCCAACAATTAATTAATCATTTATTGATTCTGCTCTTTTTTTTTTGTCTTATTTTGAGAAATATGAAAAATCCTAATATCGTTGAAGGAAATTTAGAAGAATTAGAAGAGGATAAATTCTGATGAAAATCTTCGAAATAAATTTCGCTTCTTTTCATCGCAAATCTCATTTTTTTTTATCATAACTGATAACAGCTGATTATATTCTTCGATACAGATACTAACATCCTGAATATTACTATAAATCATAACGCTAATGATAAATAATCGATTTGTAGGATGACTTTTTTAATAAATCTGTTAAAGTATGAATTTGTGAAGAAAATTTCGATGAATTATTTTATTCTCAAGAAATAATTTCATGATAATATAAAACATATCATTAACATATCATTAAATTATATTATTATATCATTAACATGAATTCTTATCATTCTATAACATCGCATTGTAGAATGATAATAATAATTCATGTTAAAATCTCTATAATCCAAAATACTTGATATATATGTATATCATTATATCACTATATATGCATATCATTACTATTATATATCATTACTATTACTATTCTTATCAATAATTAATCAAAAAAATAATAGTAAATGCATAATACATTTAATTATTGCATAAATTATATTATTTTATTTAATTGAAAAAAAATACACATTTTCATGTAAATAATTGCATAAATTATAATTTTATCGAATCTCAATCCGTTTAATTTCCGGAATATATTATATATTTTCCTTTTGTTACTCATTTCATACATTCCCATATGCTCGTGTTGTTGTTAATGCGCTTTATCATCATCATCATCATCATCATCATCATCATCATCTTCATTATTTCTTCATTGTTCGTATAACAAATTAATGTGCTGTAGTAGTTGTAGTAGTGAGTAGTAGGAATAGACATTAATGAAGTGGTTTTTCCGCCTCTTTCACTTCTTCCGTGTTTTTATTAGGGAGAAGTATGTATTTGAAGTGGTCGAAATACATAGTTATTGAGTAGTTAGTATTCCAAAAAGCTTTTTCCTTCTTTTTGTTTTCAAACAATCTTTTTGGGTTTAGAATGAGGTTGCGTATGAGGAAGAGGAAATGTCAAATGTCAAGGGTTATATTTGGATATACCTTTCTTTTCTTTCTCTTACCTTTCTTTCATTCCGTTTATCAGAAGAAGGAGGAAAAAAAAAATGCATGACAACATGAACAACTTATTCATTTACTATTATTAATTAATAATAGATTTATACTATACTATATTATACTATACTCTACTCCAATTATTATTATTACAACAACAATGATAACAATAAATAATAAGCTGATTTATTGTTAATGTAGTAGAAGATTTGTATTTAATATATCATTTCTTTTGAGAAATATTTATATCCATCCATTTTGGAATATATTTTCTCCCGAGAAATAATATATTTCACGAGTATGATATATATATTTTGTATATCAAATCTAATGTGTGTGTGTACGTGTGTGTGCGTATGTATGTGTGTTGCGTGCGTGTGCATGCGTGTTGCGTGCGTGTGTGTGTGCGTGTGCATTTGTGTTGCGTGCGTGTGTATGTGCGTGTATGTGTGTGTGTGTGCGTGTATATGTGTGTTATGTCCGTGTTGTGTGTATGTGTATGTGTTGTGTTCGTGTTGTGTGTGTGTATGTGTGTGTATGTGTGTGTGCGTGTGTTTGTGTAATCATTACAAAAACCCTAACGAGAATTTGAAGAGAAAAATAAATTGGCTGACCTCTTCCACAATATATTTATCCCTTTTTATCTACCTCTCTTTTTCTCCACTTTATTTCCGTTTCTTTCTCTCTTTTCCCCTTTCTCCTTCCCCTCTCTCTCCCTCTCTTTTTCATTTCTTTCATTCATTGAGGTAAAAAATATTTAACAATAAACAAATAACTACCATATTTAGATATTCCTAAAATGGTTCTGATTTTTTTCTCGTTTTTATTTTTTGAAAGAAATATTAGAAAGAGAGAGAGAGAGGGAGGGAAAAGAAAAAGAGAGAGGGGAAAAGAAAGAGAGAGAGAGAGAGAAAATTATTGATCAATTTTTCGGTTCTTTTTTGAAAGAAAAAATTTTTTTCAACATATTTGCAGATAATAATAATATTTCTGAGTATTCTTTCTTTTCCATTCATTACTATTTGTTTTTATATGAAAGATTCTTTAAAAGGATCACGGTGGGGGTTAAAGGTCATGCATATATACCGTCTACTGTTATGTAAACTTTAGAAATAGCCCTAATAGTTTTTTTTTTTGTGGTTAACATTCCATGATGATATTAATTTAACAATCATTTACTGACAACAAAATTTTATTATGAAAGTATAAATTTTGTTAAATTAATTAATATCATATAAATTAATTAGTATCATTTCATGATGATAATAATTTAACAATCACTTACTGATAACGAAACTTTGCGAAATTTTAATATGAAAGAATAAATTTTGTTAAAATTTGATAAAAATTTTCTTTTGCTATAATTTATAAAATTTGTAATATTTAATAAAATATATTTGCGCAATTTTTATTACAATTTTACAAAACAAATAAATATTTCGAATAATTTAAATTGATTTTTAAATTTCACCAAATTTTAATAATCGAAATAAATTCTTCAATATTTACAAGTTTTTATTTTATAGTATATATATATATATACATTTTTGATAATAAAAACAGAGAGATAATGAAACAGAGGGGAAAAAGAATTTTTTGAGATAATCTTTATAATTCGAAATGAATCATAAAATATAAAATAATGTTGAAGTGGATTTAATCATTTATTTATTAATATGATTGGAAATGCAAATAATTAATTGAAATGACAAATACGCCGCAATGCTCTTCAATAATGCATATTTGCAATGAATTTAAAGATGCCATTGAATTTCGTCGTCTAAGATTAGTTGAATTGATAATATAAAATAAGAATGGATCAAATTTTAATCAACCAGAAATTCAGTATATTAGAAATATTAGAAATTTAAAATTTTAAAAACTTAAAATATTAACTTAAAGAAGTGCTCGAAATTTAAATTTTTAAAAACTTAAATAATTATTGCTTAAATTTGAAAAAATACTAAAATGACAATAAGTTGAAGTTTTTTTGGAAATATTTAATTTTGAATTATTTTTCATTTATAAATTATCACTGAAATAATCATTCTAACAGTGCAATCAATAATATCAATGGCTTGTGAATAATATATTTGATCATATCAATTGATTAAAACTTTAGCTGTTTAATTTCTTTATATTCAAAAATAATATTAATAAATTATTTCGAAAATATCGATAAACAATAAATTAATACATTTTAGTTGAGAAAATAATTTCGGATATTACTGTAGATTACTGTAATGCTAGATTACTGTATTGCATAGTAAAGATTATTTAAAGCTTGAAAGACTTATGTAAGTTTGATCATCTTCAACTGTTATCATTTTTTACAATCAACAAGTCATTCAAATTAAGGAAATCATAATTAATCGATTGGCTATCTTAGATATTACTATTATATATGATAATAATTCTATTAGGAGCTATACTATATACGATAATTCTAATTCATAGGAGCTATACTATATATGATAATAATTTTAATACTATTAAATTTGATTTTTATCACGTTGAAATTTAGTATCAGTTTAATTAATAATAACCACTTTATGTATTATTATATTAACTTTGGCACCTAAATTTTATTCCGGTTAACTTAAAGTGAAAGAGAGAGGATTAAATATTGTTGTTTACAAACGGATTATATTTATAGTCATCTCTATTGATAAGCTTCTTAGAGAATAGTGCTACCTTACAATGGTCGAATAAAAAATAGGATATAATACAGCTACTAATTCTCAAATACATTTTACTATTCAAATATTACAAATTACTGTAATAGACCATCAAATATCACAAGAGTTACAAAAACTATAATTAAAAACTTAAATAATATATTTTTAAAAGAAATTGAAACTTATTAAATTGGAAATAAAATTTGAGAAAAAATTTTTTAATTACTTTTATTACATTCATCCAATCAAATTATCAAAGTACTGGCAATAAAATAGTTTCAGTTCAGTTAATTGTAATATTTTTAGCATTTATTATTTTGCGTTATTATTAATAATTATAAATTATTCATTATCTTCGATATAAAATTCGGTATTTAAAATCGTATATTAAATGTAATATTAGTTACTAATAGTTACAGTAATCTTTTAACATGTTTTACCTATCAGTCTTCCGAAAAAAAATAGTATTACTGATAATAAAAGTATTTAAGCCAATTTGTCACCTCATTATTATCAATAATGTTAATGAAATAATACCTGAACAATTATTTATATGGTGATAATTAATATTATTATTAGGTTGAAAATTTTGTGAGATAAATTTTGGAAGTATTGATAATGTTATCCACCAGTAAAGTAATCAACTAATTCTCTTAATCATCATTTATCATCGTCATCATCATCATCATCGTTATCAATATCATCACCGTATTTATTCATTCCTTACATCATCATTATCATTATCATTTTCATCGTTCAGATAATAATCATGTTGTTCATCATTGCTTCCCTATTATATTTATCATTTCAATCAT